TGAAAGTTCACATTTTAAATATCCTTTTTATTTTGCAAAGGGACATACTTATCAAGTTAAAACCAAGTCTAGAACAAATAATTTAAATCCATTCACCTATCAAAATCTTAAAATGGAAATATTCAAATTTAAAAAGACTAATGAATTTGTTTATTTTGGTAATATTATTAGCAAATAATTAATTTTTTAAAGTAAATAAGTATACCCTTTATAAGATCAGTAGAAAAGATTTGTCAAAAGCTGATCAGATATTGATTACTTTGAATGAAATCCAAAAGTAATAGGAGTTTTGTATTTTCTATTTTGCTAAATATTAAAATGAAATTGGAATATTTCATAACACATTTTTCGATATTTTAATATCTTTTCATAAGGCTTATATTTTTAAATAGCCTCTTTCAGTGTAAAAAAGAAATTAGAAAGATTTAATTACCATTCTAAAAAATATTAAATATAAAATGTAAATCTTCGATTTTCTATAGCCAAATAAATGAAAATTATGAAATATGATGGAAAAATATCTATTGATTTTGAAGAAATAAATTGGTTTGAATCTGCATACAAATTAATTCAAAAAAGTGTATTTTTTTGTTACCATACTATTTTTGTTTATTTTTTGTATCAGTAAATCAGTATATCTAATATGAAGAGAAGTAAGAGTCTCATCTATTTGCAAGTAAATCAATTAATTATTGGGGTTAATATTTTGATTGCAGGTTATGATTATAAATTGTATTGTAAATACAAATCCCTTAATTTTTGATTACTCTCTATTTATAAAGAGATATACAGCCTACCTATTTATTTACACAAAATGTTAAAATTTAAAAGTTAGAATCTTATTTTTTTAATTATCTTTGCTTACTTCTATTTCCAATATAATTGTTAACAAATTTAAAAACCATAAATAAAAAAAGATACTAAATTATTTGATATTTACCTCATATTTTATTTGATATCAATAAAAATATGATCACAATAAAATTTTAATCTATAGGATACTAACTCAACCAATTAGAATTTACGTTATATTATTTATATTCTATACAATAAGTATATTTATTATACATAGATATTTGCTTAGTAATCTCGAAAAAGTGAAAAAAGTCTAAAAAGATATCAAAATAATATAAAATTTTTTAATGACTCCCTACCAGATGGTTATTAATTATTTTTGTAATTAAACAAATACTAAAATTAATATCTCCAAAATGCGTTACGTAATTCAATCAATCATTCATTCATTCACTGAAAATTTATAAAATTAAATTAGGTTAATTGCAAGAAAATCATTAAAAAATAAAATTTATTCCATTACTTTTTTAAATTTCTTTTAGCAGCCAAAGCCTAAAATAATTTTTTATTTATTTGAATAGCAAAGTGAATCAAATAGACATTTATTTTTTAAATTTAATTAAATAATCACGCAAGACGGGAAATATTTGAAATATTAAATATCAATAAAATTTTTTTTTTAATGCTTTTGTTAATTCCCATCTAAAAGATTGATGACTTTGCCATTAGAAAAGTAATAGCTTTTATGTAAAAGTAATAAAAAGTGTGATAAATATTATAACAAAATTATTACTTTAGTCAATTCAAGTGTGAATAGCTATTCAGTAATAATTTATAAGACTTATTATATAAAATATCCTTTGCTAATTATGGAATATTTGAGTTATTTCTATTAGATTTATTACTTATACCGTTTGGCGAAGAGTAATTCATTAAATTTACTATTTTTTGAAGTCAATTCAAGTTTTATTTGATGCGGTACTTATAAATAAATTTTAAGAAAGGAAATCTAAGATAGATAGATAAGGAAGGCCTCAAATTAATTTTTTTAAAGTAAAGATATTTTGTTTGTCTCTAGTTCACAATAACAAATAGTTTGGACATTTACATTTTTTATTTGAATATAAAATAGTCTTTTAAATTCTTTTCATTCATATCCTAGCAGTTATTGTAAAATTAGGTAGTATAAATAGGGCCAGTTAATAGCCAAGACTTCCTCTTCTATTATTTTACATATAATTATTTAATGATAATCAGTACAAAGGGTGAATTTCAATATTTTCTATTCTAGTTATTTGAGAGGAATTACTTAAATTAGGAAAAGGAAAGATTAGAGATAATTTTCCTATCACTCAAAATAAATTTCATTTTATATTTCCTTAATAAAAATTTTTTTTCAGTACGCATTAATCAATCAATCAATTAATATATATAAAGTTATTTCCCTTTATAAAAAATGTAAAACGAGGATAAATTTATGAATATTATTCGTTTAAAAAATATTATGAAAAAAAATTATTGTAAGCTTATATTTTTTTGTAAAAAAAGAGAGAATTATAATTTTTCCGAAATTAATGAGTTAGAGTGTTCAAATTAATTGTGGAAATCTAACACTTGTAATTAATGTCTTTTTTTAGAATACAAAGTACTTGTTAGCAAACTGACATATAATTATATCAACGGTTTTTAGGTCTATCTATCTATTTATATGTCAGAATTTTAATTGTAAATTTTATTAATTTAGATTGCTAATGAGGGATTAATCTTTCACATAATTAATATGCATTATAGTTTTTTCATTTCATTTTTTAAACTAGTTATTATTTTAATTTAAATTTTTTTATTTACATCTTTATTTATCTTCGATTACATAAGTTTATAGCATAAGAGGAAGTTTATAGCATAAGAGGAACTTTAAATATTTTATTTTATTTAGCAAAGTATATTTCAATCTCGAAATATTTACTTTTAATGCTTATTTAAAAGCTTTTTGTCTAAAGGCATATTTTTTATTGAGATAATACCGATTATGTTACACTAATAGTGAATGATAATTAATAATTGATGCAGTTAAAATTTTAGCAGAAATTTGGTTAGTTTATTCTCATTTAATCAAATGATTACTTTAAAAGTTTTTCTTTTTTTCATTTATGGCATGAAAACTAACTGTTTACATATAAGAAAATTATACTCTTCAAAAGTAAGAAGGAAAATATTTGTTTTTGCTGAGCCATGATGATAGAGCAATTAATAGATAAAATAAAAAATCTTATATGATACTTTCTTAAATTTCTATCTACTAGAAAATTAAGCCGCATGAGAAATAAATATAATATATGTAGATATATTTTAATTTAATGCCAAAAACAAAAAGGTTTTTGATTTCGTTTTTGTTAAATTTAAATTAGGATTATAATAAGCACAGAATGTAATTTGCACAGATTACATAGAAGCCTATTCCTCATTTTACACATACATTTTACTTGAAGACACTAAGGAAGAGAAAAAGAATAATAATATTATATTATTATAAAATAGCTTTTCTTCATGAATAAGTTAAGATCAGACTATTACTGAATTTTAACTTTTCGAATAGAGATTACCAGTTAGTTATTTTTAAATGAGTGAATTAGTGCAATTTGCTGAAATTGTTTGCCTTTAATCAGTTCAGTTAAAAATAAAAATGCAGGGCATAAAGGTTACGTCATCGTCTTTCAAACGATTATTAAATATATTAATTCCACTTCCTTTTATAATTTGTAATCTATCACTAATTGTATTAAATGATAATTACATTATGTTCATTTAATATATAGTACTAATATCGATTTTGTCCACCCTACCCTATCTATCTATACAAACAACTAAATTTTTATTTTTATATAAAGTAAATTTAACTTTACTTGTAATCAAATGTATGTTATGGAGTAGAAGTCTATATTATATGATATCATTACGTACTCATTTAACAGCTAACAATAAATAGGTATCTGATTTGAAGGGTAAATACAGTTAATTGAAATTTTATTTCATGTTAATTAAAGGTTTTTTTTTTTAGTATTGCCCAATATTTTAAAAGTAGATCTTCATTCTGTACAATACTTAGAACTACTCTTTTGAAGATAATTTGAGATACTATCAGATATGAATGATACTTAATGCTATAGAATAATTAATTTAGCATTTTTTAATCCATTTAATGCGGGAGAACTACAAGTTCTATTTTAAATTTTTTATTTATAGCCTATTCAATTTTTTTTAATAAGGAAAAGGAAAAACAATAACCAAATAATGGAGATGTAAATAAATTTGACAGTATTAGGGGTTATCACAAAAAGAAAACAAGATCATACCTGAATACTTTAGGAATATCAAAATAAAATTATAGATGAAGACGAATTTAAGTTTATTAATTGGTCTAGAAAAGAGAAAAATTAGGTGTAGTGAGTAGGTAGCAATAATAACAAAAGATGTAGGATCAGATATTTTAATTAATTAATTAATTAAATATTATTTAGGAAAGGACCAGAAATGAAAAATGTTACGAGCTAACAAATAATAAATTCATACAAGGTGATACGATTACAAAAGCTTTGTTACATATAAATATATTAAAGTGATTTATCAAATAAAAATAAGAATCTAAAAAATGAATCAGTAAATTGTAAAATAAAAAATTAATCTAAATTCATGTTATTTCGAAATTTTTTTTGATCAAACTACCCTATTATATTATTAAATAGTGTAATAAGTATTGTGGATCTATGCTTTATTTTAAAAACCATTCAGTCTAAATCATCGGTATTTCTCAATCACATTTTTTTATTAAAAATCTAAATAATTTATCTTTAAATGTTCATTCATAAGAATAACTTGAATGTTCATAATTAATATATTATTTAAAAAATTAATAATAATATAAATCCTTTCCTTTTCAAACAGAAAATAAACAAACAAAAAATAATTAAACAAACAAACAAACAAAAAAAGAGAGAAAACATTAGTCTTTCATTCACTTACTTACTAATTTTTAATAAACCTCAATCAAAAATCTCTGATAAATAAATAAATAAATACTTGTTTGTATCATATCTTTACTGCTTTCTGACAGCCTCAAGCATCAACTAAAATTAGCAACACACTCCAAAAATCCACCTCTAACACTCCATCAAATATAACTTAAGCTAACAAACATTATAACTCAGATGATGGTTAAATTTGAAGAAAGCCAAAACGCTTTACACCAAAATATTATTGTCAAAATGGAAGACTAATAATTAATTTACAATAGAGAATTCCGCAGTGAGAGTATTGAATCTCAAAACTCATCTTGCTCTCTCTCTTCTCCCTTCCTAATTTCCTCCTCCCTCCAATAAAATTCTCTTGATCAAATTACAAATCAATAGTCATCTGACTTGCCAAAGCTCTTCGAAGAGCTTTCTTAAGAATAAATGATATAACACATCCTCATTTCTTCTTACTCTCCTTAACATAAAGATTTGTGCTAATATTTAGCAACATTAATTCCCTTTTACAAAAATGAATGGAAGGGCTTCAACGATGATGATGACAACTACCTCGTTTATTGTTTTAATTACTACAAAGAAGCTAATAACACTGTTAAGAATTTAGTCCGTAGTTTCATAACATACATGAAAAAGAAATGTGACTCCCTCATTATTGAATGCATGGATAGTGAAAACAAAGATATTACCTCCATACAAAAAAATTTCAAGAAATTTGTTGGCAAATAATCAATTAATAATAATTTCCTTTAAAAAATAATCTAAAGTGATCGCTACGGTATTCAATTCTAATATTACTTAAAAGTCTACTCATTCCATTGGTTAGCTAAGAGCAAAATAACCAATAAGTATGCACATTTGATTGCCATTTTCTTCATCCTTAGATGTTTTAGCAACTAAACCTTAATAGATGAAATCACTGCATACAAAAAAGATTGAAATCAGTAGCCTTTTAATTTAATATTTAACTGCTGCTTAAGGCGCCAATAATTATTTAATAAATATTTCTTTAGAAACCTTAATGAATAAATAAAAAAACAAGCTGAACCTTCTCATAATATGTGAACTTACTAAAAATCCTATCAAACTATATTTATCTTAAAGACATTGTATCATACAAGAAACTCCTATCATATACTAACTAAACAAACAAAATCAAATAAAAAATTTCTCTCTTTCTCTCAATTCACTAATTAACTAACTAACTAATCTCTCTCTCTCTCAATATTCAAACAAAACTATATCTTTTTCATAAGAGAAAAAAGATATACTAGAAAATAAAATATAAATAAATAAATTTCTTCAATTTTCATACTAAACTAAACCAATCTACAAGTAAAAAAAATACAATTTATCTATCTACTAATCAAAAGCCACTAAATAACTCACTAATTAACTAACTCACTAGCCATATAATTAAATAAAAAACTAATCAAAAAGAAAATTAATGAATTTTAACTTATATGATATTTTAATTAAAGAAATAATCCTACTAAAATAAATTTGAATTCTCACGCTAATATTCTAAATAATTATATTCTTCTCTATATATTGTTAAAATAGATACTTAATCTCTTCTCACCTCTACTAACTAAATTCCCTAAATGTTAAACAAATTATTTTTTAACTTTTTACAAAATGTTTAGTTGTTGCAAAAGTTTTCTTAGAACGTCAAATTTCATTTTAGTAAACGAGGGTACTCAGAAGGTTAGTAAAAATGCAACTAAGTAAGTGACCCCAAAGAAACTCCCACTTTTTAAAATTTTAACTTTTATTAGTTTATTGATTCTTTCTATTTATACTTAAGATATGGAGGTTGTTGCAATTAAATAGTATTTTATACTTTAATTAATTAACTATTTCATATCAATTATATTTTTTTAAATCATTTTCTTGTATGTTATTTATAATCCTCTTCTTTATTTTTCAGTAAGTTCAGAATAACTTTAATTGATTCCATAAATCTGTTTAGATTAAAGGAAATAATAGTATATTTTATTTTGTTTTTTTACCATAGCTTTTTTTCTTTTGAGTAGCATTTCGCTTTATTTCATGCATATCATTTGTAAAGTTGTGTGAATAAAAACTATTACTAAATTAGCGGATGTATTATTTTATAATTTCGTGGTTTTTATTGAAAATTTAAATGAAAAATGAAATTTGCTGATTATCAAAATTAATTTTTTATAGAAAATAAAATATAAAAAGGTGTAATCTAAATTTGAAAGTAATAGTGGAAGAATATTCTATCTTGACTTATATAATTATATTTATTTACTATAGAGATTTATTGACACTCTACGTACTCTTTTAGTTTACATTGTTTTGATATGAAATATATAGTTATTAATTTCGTGTGTGCCAAATTTTTATTAATTAAAAAATTTACAATTGAAATTTTCCCATATTTTCGAGAAAAACAATCATCATAATTGTTATTAAATCTGTACTTCCTCTTTATTACTTGCAGATTACTATTCATTCATTGAAAAGAATACAAATTTGCTCAAAAGATTTCTTTATAAAAAATAATAATTTCCATTCTCCCAACTAAAATTTGTAAAGTCTTTATTGACTTTTGGTTGAATAAAATATAATAAGGGTTTAAGTGAAGATAAGTAAATAAATATTATGAAAGTTTTAAAATTTATAAAAAAAAATACTTAATTAATTAACTATGTTGCGTTACAAATTAACATTCCTTCATTTTACTCTTAATTGTGTTTTATTGATATAAATTGCTATAAAATAATATAACATGTTTCTGATGAATGTGCAGCGTAGTTCTGTACTACTATTATTTATTGATTGATTGATTTTCAATAATTTTATTTTTTATCTAAATACTTATTTTCAAATTAAAGATACAATATAAAGTCCTCATTATTTTCTGTTTAAAAATTATATAGGCATAAAAAGAAATAAAGAATATCGTATTGAAAACGAATTAAGTCAGATTTGTCTTTTAGTATTTAGATTAAATTGTTTACATTTAGCATGTTAATTTATTTGACAGTAACCTCAAAAATTTTCATACTTCTTCTAATCAAAATCTGAATTAAAGATTTGGATTACCTTAAATAATTATATTTACTTTTCATAGTGAAAACATAGTAAGAGTAAATAATGACTTTTATTAGACTTTCACTGAATTAATTTTTTTTAAGTAACGTAAAAAATGCATGGACAAAAAAACAAATTTGCCTTAAAATTTAATATAGCAAGCTCTAATCTACATAAGTAACGCGCGTTTAACAAAGACATATGATTAGAAAATTATTTAAAAGCTTTTAAAAAAATTGCTATTTTAGAGTAACAGAAAGAATACAATTTTTTAATTTTGAAATTCTTTTATATCGAATCTAAATAAAATATTCACCTCTTGATCTCCACTATTACGGACAATACAAAATTTTGTATTTCAATCTAAAATCATTAGATTTTCAAAGCGCTTTTATTTTACTGATGGAAATCTTTTTCACTTTCAGAAATCCGCTCATTTAATTTATTTTTTGATATTCTTTTTTTGATTAACTTTCTATAGCTAGCTACTCAGCTATTCTATTTACTCATTCATTCATTAATTCATTCACTAAATTTCTTTTTATTGAGTAAATTCATAAATCAATCAGTTCTAATTCATATTTATCCTTTAGTTTAAACATATTTTATCTTGTATTTGTAACTTTACTTGGTTTATTTATTTTTCGTGCTTAACTATCTCTTTACTTATTTACACTGCATTTAGAATTAATTTCCTTACAAAAATAGCTCTTAATATTTTTTCATGGACACAAAGATAGTTTACATCAGGTATCCACCCTCTAATGTAAAGTAAAATTAAATTCTTAATTTATCGATTAAAGCCCACTAGGTTTAATTTTGCTTTCAGCAATGAGTCTAACAACTACTCAGTTTTTTTTGCTCTGCAGTGTATTCCACAAAATAAATTAATACTCTCTTCGAAATCATAAAGAAATCATTAAATAAATAATATGTCACTGTTATAAACAAAAAACCTTACGTGAACTTCTAAGTATGTTTGTATATATATTATTAACAAACACGCTAAAGGATAATCTAATTTGATTTAGAAAACAAAAATAAAATCGCGAATGTAATCTGTATGATAGGGGAGAACTATATATAAATGAATATTAATTTATCATAACAAAACAAATTAAAATTTGACCTAAAATGACTTTTGGAATATTTTAAAAGCTCAGCTTGATTCGAATATGCTCCAAAATTTCAATCAAATTATTTATAATTATATTCGATTATATTTACCACAAGTCTATTAAGTCCTCAATTACTTAGTTGGTATTTTTCTTCAATTTAATTAAAATCATAACATATCTAAATTTGTTTACATAAATCTGAAAAATTCTGTTCTGTACAGATTACTTTCTTTTCTTAATATTTTCTTCTTCTTTTTCATACTGCTCTGTTTTACAAGTAACAAAATATAAACTTGTGTCTCAACATACTATAACTTTGATCTATAAAATCAAATACTTTTAATTTATTTTATATCCATATCGATAACTTTATTTGATACTCTAGAAAACAAAAATAGGTATCACTTTTTTTTATTTAGAAATTATTGAAAGCACCAAAACATTTCTATCTAATTATACATACATTCATACTCACTTGTAGAATTAAATAATACTGCTTTTAAATTTTTCTTTTACCAAGTATAATCACAGATATTTTCTGATGAATGGAAATTTATTTAGCAAGTAATATATATTCAAGTAGCGTTGCAAACATCACGCGATTTAATTTTAGCTATTACAAAAACATTAAAAATTTAACTTTACAAATTGAATAATCTACTTTCTTGAGTGATTTTAGAATATGAAAATAAGTTAAAATTAGTAATCGAAATAATATAAATGATAGCTAGCTATATATTAACTAGATGTAAGTACGTGATTTGCAATTTGTAAAAAAATTTTGAAAAGCTTGGTTCAAAACATAATCTATAATTGCTTTTACAAGCCTTACAACTATTAAATTTAGTTTTATTAATGTAAACTCATACTGATAGAAATAAGGATTCTTAGAGATAATTACAAATTATTTCCTTTTAATTGATCTTCCCCCCTTTTTCTGAGAGATTTATTTAACTGTATAATCTGTTTTGTTCTATCAATTCGAGCATTATATACTTTTCATGTGAAGCTGCATCATTTATTGTTCTTAGAGATACTTAATAATTTCTTCAGATGTGTTACTCCTATAACCTTCAAAAAAACTTTACAAAACACACACAGCATGCAATTGATACTTCGTCTTTTGTTAATATAATTAATGCTTTACTCTTTCTATTTGAAACAGTAATGTGATTCAAGCATCACATCGTTTGATTGCTTGCTCTTTTATTGATACAAATATCTCCTTATTTATTTATGTAAAAGTCAATTACTACTTAAAAATAATGAAGGCTCACCAAAAAACTACGATAATTTTTTTAAAGAAACCATTATTTATGATAAAAAAGAAGAAAAAAAGAAATTTTTTGTGTAAATTGACATGCAAGTATTATTGTTTGGTAGTATTTATATACAAATGGATAAAAACAATTAAGAATAGTGACAAATGTAAACAAAAAAATTATTATTTGTCTATTGTAAATTTTTTAAACATTTGCTTATCTAGTATCCTTAAATTACATTCATAAAAATTAATAATTGGATATCAAATAAATCAAGATTTGATTTATTAAGTTGCTTTAATTATTTTTAGTGCCAATGCGGTAGGAAGTATATTACTAACTAACTAACTAATTAAATAAATAGCTTTCCCTTCTTAATTAACAAATAGTCAAAATTAATTATGATTTACTGGAGTAAATTAAAAGGAGCTCTGGTATAGACCCTAAAACTTTGAACATTCATGAAGATTACCGATTTTAGGAATGAATTTACTATATATGGAAATATTTAACATATCCCTTAATGAAATAGCTTTTTAAAACTCGTTACAAAATATTTATTATAATAATATTTTTGCTTATGTGATCAGAGATCCCTTAATCTAAGATTAATTATTTGCCATACAAATAATTGATTTTATAATTAAATACTAATTTCTTAAATTGTACTAGAAGGTTACATGTGTTAAGTCATCAGCAGCAAGCAGCATTTATAAGATAATAGTTATAAAATAATATTTTGTTTATTTACCATACTTAAAAAAATGTTATGTCAATTATTATCGAGAAATAAATGTTCAATATTTGTTAGTAAATAGTAGATTTTATACTAACATTTAAAAATTCTTTTTACTTTAAAAGACAATTTTACACCAAATTAATAAACTCAGTAGTGTAAACAGTTAGCAATTTAACATTTTTTTGAGCAAAGGCATTGAATTTAATTAAAACTTTCTAACAAAAAAATAAATACAATTACAAAAAAGTAATTCAAATGTATTTTAATTGAAGAAGTGAAAACCAATTTTTTAATTTGTAAATTTTTCTTATGAATTGAATAAAACATTTTCTTATTCTCAACAAATACTTTTAGGTTCTTAAAAGTATTTTACTGATTATTAAAGTCATTTAAATACTTTAAAAACATTAAATAAACATTTTCTTATAAAATCAGATAAAATAAAAATTAATTCATTGTTATTTTACATTTAATTCACACATATTCTTTCTAATAGTCTTACATATATTTCATTGAAATTTTATTATTCATCATGCTAATTTTATACGTTGTTGACATTAATTTTATATTTTTTTTGCGCTAATTTATATTTTTGTAATGTGTTTATAAATCTTTCATACTGCTGTTATTTAGCATTCAATTACTTTTATAAATTTACTATAGAATATTTTAAACAATTTAAAAAAATAATTCATATATTTTCTATCTTAATTTTTTAGTACTAATAAGTAAACTAAGAAATGTAAATAAATAAGGAGCGAAAATTTTCTAAATCCCCAAAAATTACATTTTTTAGAGCTCAATATTTAAAGATTATTAATTTCAAATTTAGATTATCTTAACTTCAAAATTCAAGCTATCAATAATTTTTTGATTGATTTTGATACTTGATAATTTATTTTGTATATTTAATTACCATATATCATAAGTATAATAATTTATTAAACCAGTAGGCGTTTAGCAATTGAATTTTGTTTTCTTTTAAAGTAATTGAAAAGAAATATATTACACCAAAATTTTTGGTTTTGTCAGTAATAACTGAATTTAACAATAAATTTATTGCTATAAAAGTAATTTCTAATTTAGTTATTTTCATTTTTTAATAAGTTTTTTCTATTAACGTATCAATGTCTATGGTATAAATTAAATAAATAAATATGTTATTTATCTATCTTACATTTTATATTAAATGTTATCTTTATTGATTTACAGATCCTAAAAGTCTTATTTTACTTAAAAATACAAATGATTAATTTTATGTAATTATCTAACATACATATTTTATCTGTTTTCTTGTATATTCAAAGTAATTTAAAAAAAACATTATATATTAAGTGTAAATGTGAACTAAAAAATTTTATTCATCCTTAAATTATATCATACTAATACGTTTTTACACGGGCTCTTCCCTTAAATAAAGTAAAGAAAATTATTAACTTGGTTGTTTGAGAATTATTTGAAATTATTTTGTTTGATAAAAATGTAAAGTAATCTGTAAAAATCTAAGTGTATAGTAAATTCTCTTAAGTATAGTGATAAGAGTGTAAAAATCTGTTAATTCCTGGCTTTATTAATACTACCTATATGTTATATATATTAGCTGTAAATTTGGAAAATATCTTAATAAATGTAAATCAGCTAATCTGGAATATTAAAAGTACTAGAAGAGCAATAACTTACAAAGAACACTTATATTCTTCAACTATTATCCTTCTTTCGTTTTTACAAACATTTTTCTGTCCAAGGTATAATAGTGTAAAAATTTGAAAAAATTATCTCAAGCTTTTAGAGATGATTTATTTTTCTCAAAAATGATATATTCTGTTTACCAACTCTCAAATGTCAAAGTCATAAAAAAATAGGTGCAATAAATAAATAGTAATCATGAAATATAAGATACCAATACTAATAAATTTTATTTATTTATATGTATGCCAATTAATTAAATAAAAACCAAAAAAAATCTATAGCTGAAGAACAAATATAATTCAAATAACAAAAAAAGTATAAGTGGTATTAAATTAACTAACTATCTCTTTTCATGTTTTTTATACCAAAATAACAAAATTGTTTTTATTTAAAGAACATTAATTTTTTATCTATTTTCATGTTAATTAAAATTGAAAGAAAACCTGTAAAATTCCCATTCTAATTTCAGGTAAAATTAATTTATAATGAATACTAACAGTTTTTATCACATAAATTTATTTAATTACTGCCTAAAAAACTAATGATTCCATTACAAATATTACTTAATTAAATACATGCATCTAAAATTAGATATTTAAAAATATAAATATATTTTATATTAGCAAAAATTCGTTTAATAAACTTGAATTTTTTTAACCATCAAGGAATAATTTATTAGCATATTCCTATTCCTTTTAAATAGTTTTCGCATTGATATGGTATCAATTATAAACTAAAAATTTATAAATTGACATTTACTGATAAAGATTATATACAGATAACTTTATAAAATAAATGATAATTATTTTCAATTACTCTTCTTTTATAGATAAAATTTTTTTAATTACCCCTTTACTTATTTGCAATATATTTAAATATTAATCGTAACAAACGATACTACGTAATTTATCTTTAAGCAACTATGCCTTCTAATTTGTTAGTGGATTTTCAAAATTAAATTTTAGATATTATTGAAAGACCCTTTTAAATCTAATTTGGAGGTAAAATAATCAATTAATCTTTCAAAAAAAAAGATTGAGGGAAAAAATATTGAATCAAGTTAATTAATTAATTAATTAATTCATAAATAATATTTATGCAAAATATAAGATAAAGAAAAAAAAATAAATAGTATGTTAAATTTTAAAGATAATGAGATTTTTAAGTTTTTAAATATCCTACCGTGATATGTATATGGTATTTGCCAGAAGTTTTTAACAATTATCAAACTCATTATATTTTAAGTTTAACATATTTATTTATAAAATGAATAGATTTTCATTAATTAAATGTAAAATCTATCCATTATGATATATCAAAAACAATATTTTCTTTTAATAGATAGATAAAATAATCCTATCACATTCTCTCTTAGCATATTAATATATAAAAATTATTTTTTAAAATATTTAGCATATTAGTTGATTGAGCTATGTTGGTTGAGATTTAAAAATTAAGATAAATAAAAATATAAAAATAATAAATAAAATAAAATTTAAAAAAATTATATAAATAAAATAAAAATAAATAAATAAATAAATAAATATAAAAAATTCAAATAAAATTTAAATAATTAAAAGAAGAAAAAAAATAAATAAAGAAATAAAAAGTAAATAATAATTAAGAAAAAGTTAATAAAAGAATAAATGCACTTGTATATTTGTTGCATGCTTATAACTCTATTTAGTTTTATCTATTATCTATCCTATTTTAACTTTTACATTTTTAAATTTTTAAAAAATGAAAATAAATTTTATATTTTATAAAATGATTTATTTTTCAAAGATATTTTATCTTAAAAATGAAAAAAAATAAAACATTTAATTTATTCTGATAAAAATATCAAAATTAAAAATTATATAAAATCATCATAAAAATTTTAATAGTTTTTAGTTTAATTTAGTACATAAAATATATTTTCGAAAAATAAAATAAATATGTAGTGATTATCGAATTATAATTTCATTAATCTGAGCCTTTGTAAATGCAAGCCATTACTTATAGATAAAATTGATGTATTTATTTTTTTTTAATTATTTGACAGAGCAGCTTTCACTAAATATTAATAAAATTATGTGCTTACTATTATATAATAGTATTTAATTGTGAAAGAGTATATAGTAATTTATTATTTCTAATATTTTTTCTTCTACAAAAGAGTTGATTGAATCGATTAATTGAGTTTATCAATTATTAATAATTAAATTCTTTATTGTTAAAAATAAAATCCAGAAAAATTAATTCGGAGTTTTTTAACTATATAATATAAATATTTTGATTCGCGTAAATTTTTATAGAGTTGTTTATTTTTAATTAGTGAAAATAATAGTTAATGGATTAAAGAGATTAAATTCAGATTTCATTAAAGGACTACGCAGAGCTTATAGAAAATCGTAAAAGAGTACTAAGAAGTAATACTAACACTGGTAGCAGCAATCAGCAATAACCAGCTTAAAATAATACTTCGTCTTAAGCAACAACTTCAATCAATGATGTAAAAAATTTATATTAAAAATTTCAATTGTCTATAAGCATTTGTGCACCTTTAAAAAATAGAGGAAGAATGATAAAAGCTCTAAAATTAAAAAGGGAAGCGTATAAGATGAAGGTAATTTAGCTAAAATAACCTATTTCTTGATTTTATTGTGAAAATATTTTTATAAACGGATATAATATTTTATTTTTATGCTTTTAATTGTCCAATAATTTAAAGCAAGCAGTAGGATTGATCTGTTTTTTTTAAAAAATATAGAACCAGATATTTAAAAGAAAATAAAAATAAGCGATTAAGACAACTTAGATAAGTCTAATCAAAGCAGCACTAATAGTGAAAATTAAAAGAGTAGTTTGAACTCTGCTGCAAATTAGAATATTTAATCTATTTAGAATGATGAAGTGTTTGAAGAGATATTTAAAAAGTTTGTAGATTTAGAGCGCGATGCTTTTTTGGACATCCCAGAGTTAAATAGCACTTTACATGGATAGTTTTATTTAAAAGATATGAATAAAATAGACGCTCCTTATTTATAAGATTCTTTTGTTAAAGTTTATTCTGAATCATAAAATTTGATTACTATTTCAAATGGATATGTCTAGCAAGGAGCTAATAAAAAGAAAAAGAGGTTTATGACAATTTAGTCACAAAAAGAATCTAAAACTTTTACATAAGTATGTGACTGCTCTAAACAAGATATATTAATACTTTAAAATATAGCATGTCTATCTATGGATCATTAATCATTTTTAAAGCACATAAGACCTAATGAAAAATCAGTATATTAATTTAGCGATTTTGCAGATCCAAACATTAATTAAGTGTTATGGCCTGTTGTTTTACTATCTTGTTATGGACCCCTTAAGGATAACATTAGGGATTTATTTACAAATGATTCTTATACTATTAATGATACTTGGGATATCTTTAAATTTGGTAATTATCGAAAGGATTCTGCTTTAGATGAGTAAAATGATGAAAGTAAATTAAAATTTAGCTAAATTGATATTTTTCCTATTTTATCATTTGAGTTTATTATTTCTTTCGTTAATTGTGTTAAAATATTTTATTGAATAATTTTTTATATTCGTATTTATAGATAAATTAAAAGGCTAAAAGGAAAAGGATAAAAATTTTGAAAGCCAAATGAATATAGAGTCACTCTCTTAAATAAATTTCCCTTCATAATAGCAAATCCCTCTTTAAAGAAGTTTATCTGTTTAATATTAATAAAACGATGTTCTTATATGGTTTATTGGCACTAATAGATATTCTATGTAATCTTCTTATAATGATTTATTTTTTTTATCAAAACTAACTATTGTAATTACTTTAAATTTTTTTTTTTTTCCCTTTATATTATAGAGTAAATATGTCTCAGCTTATGAAAGTGGAAGATATGAATAAAGAATTTGTGAAGGAAATTTTTAAAAAGACCAAATTAAGGGATATTACAAAAACTCTTGTTGATTTAATTAAATCTTATAACCAGGTTACAAATAGGAACAAAGAATTTGTCATCACGGCTGAAAACTGTAAATAAATGATCCATCGTATTGTCAAAATAAGAAATAATAAGCAATTCAAAAAAAAAGCTCCTCAAGTGACTTCAAATGATGATTTTTATTATGCAGTCATTTTAAGATTTTAAGAAAATAGATAAAAATAAACAATGCAGCTTTTAATTAAGAACTTAGAAACTTCCAAACTTCATTGGATTAATCTAAATTAATCAGAAAGAAATATTATAACCTCACTAAATATCCCAGCTCTTGGTCCTCAAGAATTAAAGTTTAACTACTATCTTGATATTTAGTAAAAGGAATCTATTAATCCGAAAGAAATTGTAATTTAAAGTTTAATCTTATTTAATCATGCTTATTATTCTTATTGAAAAAGGCTCTTTCATTCATCAATAGATTTTTGTTGAGATGGTTTTATGAAAAAAGTGCAATAACACCTTTAAGAGACGCAGAAGTAGACAGACTTTTATAATAATCTATTAGGGAAAAAGAATTTTACACTTTCGAAAATATGCCAGAAAAAAAAAGAAACAAAGAGCGTTGCACTGTTTGTAAATACATTTTGTATAATTTGGAATTTAAAGGTTGCTTTTATTGTGGAGCATATTATCACACTCAATGCATTCTCTAAGAAGAGGATAACCGTAACTAGCATGTAACTTTTTTAATATTTAAGTTGTATTTGTAAATATTTTTTAAATTAGTTTGCATGTGATACTTGTGAGCCATGTAGTATTTGCCACGGGAAAATAACTGATGATAATATTACATGCTGTGAGTGTAAAACTCACTTTCACAAAAAGTGTGGTTTCTCAATAGCTTATGATATGAATACAAGTGATAAATAAATTATGAGGTGGTATTGCGAATCTTGTGTTTAATGCTGTATTTGTAATAATAAGCTATCTGATTTTCAAAATGGATATTCGTAATTTACTAAATAATATTTAAAGTTTATTTAAATAAATTATTTATTTTAATTTATAGTTTTAAAGATGATTAAATTTACTGCAATGATTGTAATGAGCAGCTTTAAAAGAAAGAGTATTGCCCTATTTGTAAAAAATTTTGGTCTTAAGAAACTAACAAAGATATGGTTCAGTGTACTTGTGCTATGTGGATTCATAGAGCATGTGATCCGATTTTAAAAGATGATAAACTTTATGATGAATATAAAAACAATTTAAGGCAATAATATCGTTGCACTAATTGTAGAAAAAGAGTTAGAAGAGTTTTAATGTGTCAATTTATAAAAGTTCTTTCACAGTAAATTTTACAATATTTTTATATGTAATAAATATGTTTATAAAAATTAATATTATTAGTTTAGATTTTTAGAAATTTTTTACCAAGAATGAGTTTGAAAAAATACCTAACTACCTCAAGCTTATAAAGAAGCCCATAGATTTATATATGATGCAGAGAAAAGCAATCTCTGGCGATTATGATAATGAACCATATGAGCAACTTTACAAGGACTTCTTGCTTCTCATATAAAATGCACTGAATTTTAATGCTCATCATCCAGAAGCTTATAGAGAGGCCACAAAATTAAATTTACTAGGGAGAACTGCATTTTAATATTTTTAAAATCTTTTAAAAATTGATGAAAAAGAGCTGATAACAATGACTGAAAAAACATCTATTTAAGGAAAACAAGTCGAATTCATTAAATATGTTGAATAAAACTTCTTAAATATTGTATTTAGCGCCTCTGCTTAAGCAAATAAATCGCTAACCACTATTGAAATCTATAACAAATAAAGTGAGAGTAAGATATATTTAAATTTTTTTTTGATGTTTATCTGCTTTATAAAAAGGACAACAATCTAATTAGAGTTAAATAATTGAAGAACCAATTCAAAATAAAAGAGAACAAGAAAATTCTGCTTAATATTAAGAATATTTGAGAGATGTTTAAAAAATGGAAGAAAATAATATTAAATAATTTAAATACACTGAAGTTAGTAATTTAGTTGAGTAAGGAGATGCCATATATAACTATCTATCTTTCCTTTAACAATTGATGAACGAATCCAACTAAATTATTGTAAAATTTGAAGATATTTGTAAGATATTTGAGCATATTGCTTCGAAAGGTAAAAACGAAATAAAATACATCTAATCAGTTTTAAAAAATGAAACTTTAAACAAAATTGTTAAATACAACCAATATTTAAATGATCTCATGAACAACAATACTCTTGATGAATCGAATGAATAAAATTAATTGGATAATGCACAGTCAGATAATTCTTCCTAAGAAGGAGGGGTTTCAAGTTAATTTATTTCATTCCATCATGCTTTGAAATTAGAAATTGAAAACTTCATATAAAAAGGTTTGAATTTTTTTTATTCATTTAAAATTTTTTTATTTAGATATTTATAAATATAAAGGTAAACCATTTAGCTTTTATGAATGCGTGCCTGTAAAATTTACAAATCAAAATATCAATTTGCTACGATAAAGTTGTTGCTTTATGTGTGGGGCATTCGATGGTTATAAATCATTACTTTTTTGCACAAGCTGCTTCGAATCTTATCATCCCTATTGCCTTATGATTCCAGGAAGATAAGAATATTTCAAAGAAAAAATGGAAAGAGCCATGAACGTAATAATTTTATTATTTACATTTTTTTATAAAATTTATCTCCAGAATAGGGAATGGAACTGTCCTAAATGCTAGGTCTGCAAAGTTTGTAGTAAGGGTCCTAACATTACAAAGAATCTTTTTTGCAGAAAATGTGATGCTATGGTTCATTTTGAATGTGAATTTAAAGACGTTCAAGTATGGAATGAATCTAAAAATGAACTTTACTGGTAGTGCTCAGATTGCTTTAATTGTGCCAAATGTTCGTCAAAATCTTTAATTGATGAATCAGATAAACAACTCATGATCAATTTAGATTTTACTGATAACTTTTCATTATGCTACAAATGTGGTTTTTTGGACGCTTATTACAGATTCTGTAAATTTTGCAACAAATATTGTAAAAAAATACCAACTTTACCTAAGCCCGCTAATTAGCAACCTCTTGATGACCTATTTTAAGAGAAAAGCGTAAATTAAAATAAACACATTTAATAAATTAAATTTGATTAACTTAAAAGGTAAGGCTAAAATATTTAGATTAATATCTTGAAGAAGTTCTGTATCAGTGCAAACTGTGCTAATAAGTTTACCACAAAAAATGCTTTGAAAAAGCTTATCCAGAATATATTTAGTAGTTCTTTTGCTATACATGCAAAGACTCAAATCAAAGTTACATGTAAAAGATTTATGAAAATAGCTTAATTAGCACTAAGTGTAGGATTATCCATATCCGTAAAGTGTAAGAGTTTCTTCCTATAGTTGAGCTAATAATAGAAAAGTAGGCTTAAACTTACAAACTAAACAGGAAAGACATAGGTGATTTCATAGCAGAATATTTACATTATTTCGAAAGCGATTAAGTAAGCTCATTTTTGGAAAATTATGCAAATAATTAATTTTTTTAAAACTAGTTTGGTATTTATAAATAAAATACTATGGCTTATGACAAACTTTGTTAACAACTAAGAGATGAAGGAATTCTGATAACACCTTATAACATTAAATAAATGGCTATATATGATGAAAAGGTTATTTCACAAACAATAGAGCAACTAAAAAATAAAAAATCATTTTGGAGAGACACATATATCTAATCCAATTAATTTTATTATAAATCAGAATAAATTTATTCAATAGCTTACTTAGATTTGTATAAAAGAGGAATAACAGCTCCAGAAACAGCAGAAATTGCATATGTAATGATATAAAAATTATTTACTTAATTAAAGTTTTTTTAAAATATAAACATTTAAGGCATCTTATTTTAATTAATTATTAATTTGTTTATATCTTTAAAATAAATAATTACTTTTTTAATTAAATTTTAGAAATTTTCATTCGAATCTAATGAAGGCGTATTTAGACAACTTCAGTATAGCATTTTCAAATTTGAGTTAAAAGAATCAATCAGATATGATTACAGATATGATGAAAATGGATAATTAGAAGTTATTTTTATTGAAAATGATAGAAGACATCCTCTTCATTTCATAAAAGAGGATTAATTTTAAGTATTTTAACAGAAAGTACAACAAGTTATTAGAGAAAGGGGACTATCAAATCAAAGCTCATCTTAAGCTATATAATTCCCTTCAAGAGATGGATCTAATTAACCTATGGAAATAGAAGATAGTAACCAACCTAGTGAATAATTAATACCAATTGCACCTGTTAAATTATCTTAAAATAGATTTTAGCTTTCTCTCGTTTACTCTTCATACTTTAATCAAACAATACTTGACTTATAAATGAAAATTTAATAAGAAAATAGCCAATATTAAAAATGTTTTAAAACATATATTAACATTCCTATATTAGAAGAAAAGAGCACTGTTTAATTATCGACTGTTACTGGAATAAATAAAAGAAGGGATATTGCTTAGTGTATAATCTTATTGCAAGCTTAAGAAGAATAACGTAAATTTAAAAACTATTAGATTTCAGAAATTTTATTTTATTAAAATTTAAGTTGTTGCTTCTGTTAGACAAATGCTTGATGAGTTTATGGAAAAGAAAAAAGATAAAACTAAGATATCTCTTACTCAATAAGTTTTAAATTCATGTAAATTAATAGTTAATTATAATAAATATTCATTAAATTAAAAAAATTAGATCAAAATTTTTCTAAGAGTATACTTGGATCTGTTTATTAAACACCTATGTCATATTAAGAAATCATCAATTAATTCAGAGAAGCTTAGAAAAGTAAATTTTATATAAAATAATCAATTAATAAAACACCATAAATTTATAGAATTAATTCTTGTTGATAATAATATAATCGATGATCCTATGAGAGAAATACCTTGCTAGTTATGCTCTCTAAAAGGTACAAGAAAAGTAAGATATTTATTTATTTAATTATTATCTACCGTGGGTACGCATGAATAAGGATTATCAAAAAAAAAATCTTTTTTAAAATTTCTTATCCTTTTTAATCCTTATTTTAAATTCATCCTTATTCAAAAATTATCCTTATTCATGCGTACCCACGGTATTTCAAATTTTAATGTTTTATGAAAAATTATATTAGATGTGTGGAAGGCTTCTCAATTTCGATGTTGATAAATGGGTTCATGCTAATTGTGCTCTTTGGAGTACAGAAGTTAAAGAAAATATAGATGGTGCTCTAAAAAATTTCATACCAGCTTACAAAAAGTCTCTATAAGTGGTATCATTAATTGATTGTTAACTCTTTTTTAATTAGATACTAATTTTATTTAACTTAAAGTAATGTAAACATTGTAATAAATTTGGAGCCACTATCTCTTGTATGATAGCTAGTTGCAAAGATAAGTACCATTTCCCTTGTTTATTGAAATCAAATGGTTTTATGACAGATCAAAAAACCGTTCTTTGCAAGAGCTGTTGGGATATAATCCTTAAAAACGATGACACTGAAATTATTTTAAAAGTAAAAATAATTAATTAATTTTACTTTTACTATTTTAAGCGATTCATAAAAATAAAATAATATTTTTAAATAGATGCAATATTTAAAATTGGTCAACAATTTTAACACAGATAGAAGAATTTTTATATCACTTACAAAATAAGAAGGAGGAAACATCGATTTTAGTGGAGAGTGCTATAATAGATTTGGTTCTTTTATACTTGTCAATCTTGACACACAAGAAACAAATGATGATGAATTTTTCTCATCTTATTTCTTTATGAGATACATTAGACCTTTTGTTTCACAAAAATATCAGTCTTATGTAAATTTTTAAAATAAATTTTTTTAAAAACAAGGCTTATATTATTTATTTGAGTGCCTGCTTTTAATTGATAGTAAATTTTATTATAAAATAAATAAATAAGGTTACTGCATTTTGGTTGAAAAAAAAGAAAGATGAATATATTTTAAAATCTTGTTTGCTTGCAGAAACTAACAAAATATTTTCATAGACAAAAAATATTGATGAAAACAAAAATGAATTTTCAATAGAAAAAGATAGACCATTCACTAATGAATTAAGTGCCAACATAAAAAATTTAGCAGGATATAAAGAAATAAGCGAATCAAACAATAATATACCTAGATTTACTAACAATGTATTGAAAGATAAAGATATATTTAATCATGACCAACTTGATTGCTTCACTTCATTAAAAGGTATACAATAGCTCCTCTAAGAAAAGATAAATTAAATATACTAAAGATACAAGGGTGATTAACCTAATAAAAGTACTGATGTTAACAAATTTGTTATGGAATACATTGGTTTTGGTATTCCTCAAATAGTCAAAGCTTGCTAATAGTCTTCAAAATAAAATAAAAATAACAATATATTCTAGAACATTTAAAATATCAAAGTAAACTCGTTTTAAGAGCTCTTTTACAAAGAGTAAGTAGAAAATTTTAACCCATTTGAAAAGTAGAAACTATTAGAAAAAATGCATCCCACAATCATGTAAAATTAAAAATAGTAACAATAATTACAAAACTTAGGATAGTAATAAATGAATTCAAAAGAAAATTAGTAGTCTTCACATTTAAATATTCCAATTTTACAGCATTTAAGTAATAAAAAATAAGGTAAATTTATTTTAGCTAATTAAGTTTTTGTTGTTTTAATCTAATAAATTAAATTAGGTTTTGTCCACTTCCAAAAGCAGAGCTAGAAACCTATTATGGGAAATAATTATTTCATCAGACCCGATGATATTATGCTAGAAGCTAATCCCGATTACATGAAATAAGATACTCGTTAAACGATAAGAGAAAAAGAAATAGAAAAAAAGATTAAAGCAGAATATCCGAATTACATAAATAGCAAAAAGAGACATCTAAATATTTATGCTGGTCCTTCTAAAATTCACAAATATGGGTTATTTGCAAAAACTTAGTAATTAATATATTTTCTTATTTATATGATTTCAATGTTCAAAAATTAATTAATTGTGTTATTTATTTCTATTAGCTTTAAATAAGACGATATTGTTGTTGAATATCTTGGTGAAACAATTAGATAAGTTCTTGCAGACTATAGAGAGAAGATATACAAATAAAGAGGTTTTGGAGATTGCTATATGTTCAAAGCATGCCCTGATAAAATTATTGATGCCACTTTTAAAGGGAATGAAGCCAGATACTTAAATCACTCTTGCAATGTAAATATTTCAAAAAATATTTTATTTTTATTAATTTACTTTTAAAAAGCCAAATTGCTCCAGTTTAGTTATTGAATACGAAAAAGATTCAAAAATCATAATTTATGCAAAGAGAGATATAAAACCTGGAGAGGAGCTTACATATGATTACTGCTTTGATATAGAAGAAGAGAAGATTAACTGTAACTGCAATGATCCTAATTGCACAAGAATAATGAATTGATTGATTAGTTATTATAGCAAAAATAATATTTCTGTTAATTAAAATAAATTTTTGAATATTTTTATAGTGTTTGTTTGTTGTACATATCAATATTTATAATCGCTAAGTAAATAGACAATAAAGTTATTATTTATTTTTTAACAAAATCATTTTTAAGTCTTTTTTATTTTACTAACAACATTAGTTTTGATAAAATATTTAAATAAAAGCTCCAAAATTTTTAAAAGTTTTCATAAATTTAATTTCTGTTAAAAAAGTTAATGCACAACAAATAACAAAGAAAATGTATTTTTTACTATTAATTTTAATGATTTAATCTCATTTTTTTATTTTGCAATATGCATTTTTTGGTTTTTCAGGACTGCAAGTTTTTAATAATTAAAATTAGTCTGGCACACATTGCAAACAGTCTTCAAGATTTGATTCACACTATTAGCAATAAGGAGATTTACATTGTTAACACATCTTATCAGCACTACAATAAGAATTGTTTGGATAGCTATTATAACATACTTTATTTAAAGAATACTAGTTATTATCACAATTTGGAACACAAATACTATAATAGGAATAAATTTATTAGTAATTTCCATCTGGGCAAACTTAAACACAATTTTAATTTTATGAAAAATTTATTTTTTTAATTCCTTCATTGTGGAAGCAGTTGTAAATTGAATAATTAAAAAAACCAATATCTATGTTTATTATATCACTACTATCACGAGTTTACACCTAAATTGTATTTTTATTTGTAGTAAAGCTATTTGCAACTTAAATTCTTATTGAATTTGGATTTTAATATGTATTTTTCATAGTAGAAATACCAAAAAAGTTGACTGAAGTAGTGCCTTCTATTTAACTGTTTCTAGTTACATCTTTTTGCTATGAGCTTGGAGAACCACCTATATTTAAATTTTAAAAATTAAGGTTCTATATTTCAGTAATCATAGAATAATCTCCTTATTGCATTGAATAATACTCTATACAATTTACATTTATGGTATTTACTACACTTATATCTTAAGTAACAATGGTAATTGTGTAATCATCTTAAGTAAAAGAACTTACATTAACACCAAACTAAAGCTAATTGTTACTGGAAGTGTAACTTAACCCAGTTAAAAAGCAAAAGGATTGTTTCTATATGGATGCTTTTGTTGGCAATTAAAAATTTTTTTTTTAGTTCATGCCATCAGAACCTTTGAGACTAAATTATTAAATTTTAATATTACTATCTTAAATAGCAAGCATTACTATTCCAAAATTATAAAATGTATATGATCCTTACTTAGTAAATTATAAATTAACAGAATTAGCATTCACTGAATTTACTTATAAATTAAACTGAGATTAACCTATTGTAATAGAAAAATCAAGTTCACAAATTCCTAGTAATACATATGGAATAGTAGAGAATAAAGATTAAAAATTAATAGTTTTTGCTACTTATCTCGAGCCATTAGATTGAGGGTTTGATTAATAATCTACTAATTTCAGAGTCTACATTTCAAATAGATTAGAAGCTATGTATTTATCTTAGCATCTTATAAAAATTGTTATCAACAAAATAGCAAAAATTATATAAAATATTCTCATTTACTAAATTTAAGCAAATTTCTTCAATAAAATTAAATTTGTTTATAGCAAATTATAATAAATAATCAATTTTGTTTTATTTGCGCTCATAGAGTAAATTAAAGACAAAATTGTGCTCTCCCAAATAAATTTAAATGCATGGTTAATAAAAGTGATTTTTTCAAAGGATTTCAATCTAAATTTAATAAATAAAATTTGAGACTTACTCCTTTAAACAATAAAAGTACTTATAAAAAAATAATATCTGATTTAAATTTTGAGTTGGAGATTAAAAAATATTACTTTAATTGAATTAATTATCATTTCTTATTTTTTTATTTATTTTTAATTGTATATTTTTTTAATTTTTAGAAATTTAATTTATTTTTTTATTTATCCAATTATTTTTATTAATTATTTATTTATTTAATTTCGTATTTTTTATTCATTTATGAAGATAGCCAATGAAGTTTATTAAAATGCTTAAAAATTTTATCATATTCTATTCCTAAAATGGTAAAAGAGAGGAAATTTAGTTTTAAAAAGAAAGTATATATTTGTTTTGATAATCCCTTTATATTTTTATTTCTAATATTTAGAAAATTATTGATCAAATTATGAGAAAAAGTATTTATTTAGTTATTTTTGGAGGACCGAAAGGAGTAAATAAAGTAAGTTATAATTCAAAATACAAACAGCAAGTTTGTAATTTGTAAGCCACTTTATAATAACTATTTTAAAGTTAAAGTTTTAATTATAACTTATCTTTGTAAAGAATTAAAAACTATTTCTTTTTTCTTCTTCTCATAATAAGATTTTTAGATATTTTGTTTTTTGTTTTTGATTTATTAATTTATTATTAAATATATTAATTATTCAAAATTGATTATTAGCTTTTTAATAAATATTAATTATTATTAATATTTTTTAATTGTGAATGTAAGCAATTTAGCGTCACTAATAAGTTTTTTAATTTAGTGTCTCCATCAATACTTATTTATTTATTTTAATTAAAAACTGTCTTACCAAATTAGATATTATAATCTTTTGTATTTCAAATATTATAAAAGTTTATAAAATTACGCAAATGATAAGCTTAAGGTAATTTATTTCAAGAAATACTTAGAAAATAATTTTTTAAATTTTAATAGGACATAAAAGGATTTGGAGGTTTTTAGAAATTATTTAGAAAATAAATATTAAGCATTTTAAGATAAATTGAAAAAGGTTCATGTCACTTTTGAGTATATCCAAATTATTTATACGCTCTAGTTAAATTTTGCTTTTAAAATAGCCCAATTGATCCCATTCAAAAATCTTACATAGATGAATTCCTCAAAATAATAAAAAGCCATTGTATGAATATCAATCATTTAGAAGTACATGGATTGTAAATTGCATTTTACTTATTGATTGCTCAACATACAATTTATTGATTTACTTAATAGAAATAGCGTTTCTATAAAAGCAGATTAATTGCTTGAAGTTTTCATTCATCCTGAAGCTAACAATCTTAAAACAATTATATTAGACTTTAGGTAAATAATATAAAATAATTTTAAACTAATATAAGTGAAATAAATTTAAATATTAGTGTTAAAGAATAAAACCCAATAAATTAAAAGCTCCTTGTTGATGTTATGAAAAATTAACCAAAGTTAAACTACTTATCACTTTCAATAAAGTAATATTTAATTATATTTATAAAACTATTTTCAATATTATTTTTATGGATAAAAAGTGAAGGAAATCTAGAAAGTGATTAACAAATTATTGATGCTGTTATTAACTCAGGAATAACTACTCTTAAAATATTGCACAATTACTAAGTAGGAGAAGCAGAATTCTCTAAATTTAAGCTTAACAACTTTTCTAGATTATTTAGTAGATATGGAATGATTTAATTCCTTTTTATGGCTAACAATAAGTAATATTTTATAAATTAAATTTATTATTTAATTTAACTTTATGGCTTTAATTAATATTTTAAATTAAATTAAACTAAAATAAAATAGAAATAGATTTGAATTTGCTATTAATTAGCTTTATTTTGCATAAATAGTAGTCTTCTAAAAAAAAATATCAAACTTAATGCATATCAATCCTTAGCAATTACTATTTGACTTGTATGAAAATCCTTATTAGAAGTAAAGTATATATACTATAAATAAAATGTAAGGACCTAATGCTATCTTAGAATGAAAAAATTGAAATATTCCCATAAAGAATTGTTCCAGTTTAAACAAATTATAAATAAATGCAACACAATGAATATTAATATTTTTAATTAATTTATAACCACTGCTTAAAAATGATTTTTCTTTATGTATAAATAAATAACTTCAGTTATTAAATTTTTAAACAAAATATTTTATTATTTAGAAATAAAATTTATAAACTTTTCAAATAAAAATAATGATTTTATTATTTAGTGTTTTGCTTTATTTGAATTTAAGAGAATAAAAACTTTACAAATAATATGTAAAAATTTGATTATTTTTTCTTAAATATTATTCAGTAAAACTTTTCAAGATAAATAATTTGTTATTATTTTAAAGATTGGATGTTGTTATCAGTTCTCATTAGAAATAATCTTTTAATTGGGAACAACATAACTAATCTTAATTACTTTATAGTAATAATTTCATTTTGTTATTTTAAATTTCTTATTATATAAAATATATATAGTAGAATAGATATTTTCTATATTCTGATCAAAAGGATAAATACCATACATACATAATCTTGCTATAAAGATAAAAAGTAATTAATTACAAAAAATATAATTGTTGACTATAAAATTTTATATTAATGTAATTAATTAATTTAGCAATTTTTGAACTGATTTAAAAAAATAATCATTATTTTACTATTAATGGATAAATATCAGATTTCTCTTTAGGCACACGATAATCTCTATATTGTGTTAAATGATTAAGGAAAAAAGCTTGCCATGAAGAAGTTAAAAAGAGGTAATACCTTTGCAGATCTCGAAGAAGCTAAAAACGATATAGAAGTAAGACATCTTAACAAGTTAAAAAATGAGCATGTTATTGAAGTTTTAGATGTTATTTACAACTCTACAGATAGAACTGGGTTTATAATTCTTCCTTACTTTTAAATGAATCTATTTGAATTCCTAGAGAATGGTAAGAAGCTGTAAGAATTTTAAAGAAGACACATAGTAAAATAGTTATTTTAAGTCCTTTCTTTCATCCACTCCTAAAATATCTTTCATAGAGACTTGCATCCAGAAAATATCATGATAACTGATGAACAGGAATATTCTTCAGATAAAAGCTTATTTAATATTAAATTAATTGATTTCGGAAGCTCAAAGTGCAGACAAGATAATTAATTCACAGATTATGTAGGAGTTAGATGGTATAGAGCTCCAGAATTACTATTAAGTTGCTAAAAATATGATGAAAAAGTTGATATTTTTGCACTTGGTTGTATAATTTATGAAATATATCATAAAAAACCTCTATTTCCAGGTACATCAGAATTAGCTTAGTTAAATGAGTTGTGCGTTATTCTAGGCTCACCAACTTAAGAGATATGGTCTAAAGGAGTTGAGCAAGCAGAAAAAAAGGGTTTAGATTTAGGAAAACATAAAAAAAGTAATTTAAAAGTTATATTTTGTGATATGCCATAAGATATGGTTGAGCTTTGCGAACTTTGTTTAACTTGGAATCCTGAAAAAAGAATCAGTGCAGCAGAAGCTTTAAACCATAAGTCAATTATAAATTCAATTTGAGATTTTCCATCAATCAAATATTTAAGTAGAAATATTTTTAAATAAAATAAATGATAAAGCTGGTTGTATTATGTAATTAATAATTGTTATTTTTTTTTTTTGAAATTCAATACATTTAAATATGGAGAGTTTATTTTAATGTAATTTTTATCTTTGCTATACCAATCAATCAATTTAATTTATATAGTACTTAATTAATAATGCAAAATTTATAAAACATATTTTCAAATTGTAAGTGTTCATTTTATTTAAATAAAATTCTGTTGTTTTTAAAATATTTGTAAATAATAATATATGTAAGATTAAATCAAGTAATTAAAATATTTTAATTTGCAAACTTTATGATACAAAATATTTTTTTAAGATTGTTTTAAATTTATTTAAAATAAACTTTTGCTGTTCGAACAAGTTGTTTTTGGACAAACTGCCTATAACATCTTTATATCATAATTCGATAATAAATATAAAAATATCTTTAAAAGAAAATCTATCCAAATTTAAAGTTCTTCTATCATTTTATTAAATTTCAATTATGCTAAAAAATAAATTCAATTCCATTTTTAATATTCATCTTTAAATGTTAAATAGATTAGATTTTGTTTGGATTATTTCCTTAATTAAAAATTATAAATTTATTTAATTAATTATGCTATTTATTTTATTTTATTAAAATTTATTTAAAATATTTTTAATCCACTTATAATTTCATAAGTTTTTTATTTATTGTTTTTATCTATCATTTTTTTAATTTTCTTCTTTCAGAATTATTTTATTTCACAAATCTTTATTAACACATAAATTTTTATTTTTTTATTTATTCATTATTTTGACATATTTTATTTTTAGTTAGTAAAATAATATTTAGATTAAATGATAAATGTAAGTTTTGGTTTTGTTTGAAGCCATTATAATATTTATAAAATTAGAAATAAATCAGCTATGTATAGGAATAAAAGAAGGAATGTTTTGATTTTTAAGTGCCTGAATGATAACTCCTTTATAAAATAATATATCGTTAAGTTTCCTATGAATGGAATTAATATATTAAGTAAAAAGATTTATTTTGTAATTGCCAAAAAAAAGTAATTAATAGAGAGTTGCTGCAAAAAACTAAGTAAAAAATTTGGGAATCTAATAAGGGATATTCATAATGTACTAATTTTTAATGTTGCGATTAAAATTAGATTTGATGATTTGTAGATGATGATACATAATAAAAAACATGATCATTGCTACTCTGTTCCAAGCAAAAGTGAAAAATGTTTTTTTATGTAAAAAATTTATCTTTTACTCACTACTATCAACATTATGTTCAATCCCTTATTTTTATTGAGCGTCTTTGATTAAAAACTAATTTTTTATGATTTGCAGAACTTTCATTTCTTAATATTTTAGCAAAATCTTATAATTTTGCAAATTAATATATCTTTTTGATTATCTTTTTTTTCTTATTTTATTTTTCTGTTAAATTTGATTAATTAGATTAGTGGTAAACAATATTTATTTTTTTAATTTCTTTTGTTTATTAAATTTATTATTATTTTTTATTTATTATTTATTAGCTTGATTTTTATTTAATTAAATTTATGATTAAAATTTATTAGACTGTTAAAATATAATCAATATTTTTATAAGATTTTCGATATTAATATATCTTGTAAAAGAGACAATTTCATCTATTTTATATATTAATGTTATAGATGCTCTTATATCAACATTACTTGCATGATTATGTCAATCAAGCTGTTTTAATTATTAAATATAGCGCTAACTCATTGTAATCACTTTTTTTATCAATATCATTAAATATATTTGATATTAATAGAGTTGGTTTGTTGGGGTTTTTGTAAACTAAATAATTCAAAATAAATCTGAAATAAATTAAAAAAAAACACTACTAGAAGCAAAATTAATATAAATAAAAATGTGTGACATTTTCTCAATCAGTGATTTTTAAAAAAATGAATTAGATGAAAACTAAAGAAAAGAAGCAGAATTTATTAGACAATAAGTCGAAAATTAAATTTTAGAGTGGTAAAAATTAGATATCAATACAAAAATTGTATGTATTACCTCAGGAGGTACTTCTGTGCCATTAGAAAAAAATACTGTTAGATCTATTGAGAACTTTTCTACAGGATAAAGAGGTGCTATCTCTGCTGAGTAAAAACAAATTTTAATAAAAATTTTTTTAAATCTTAATTAATAAAAATTAGAGAATTTCTAAAAAGAGGATACAAAGTTATCTTTTTAAATAGAAAAAAATCATTGTAACCTTTTTGCTGGAAGTATTAAGTGGAAAAGTAATCTTGATTTCAATAAAATTTTTTTGTTTTATGAATAATATTATTAAAAACTTTAATTTGGAAATTTTCAACAATAATAAAATTTTTAATTTCATTTAAAAAAGGATATTTGACTAAGGGTTTGATTTATGTTAGCAGGATGTATAACTTTATCAAAATTATAAATCCTCTATCCTAAAAATATCTTTCGAAAAAGTCTAAGATTATCTCTCTTTAGTATTGTAACCTAACCTTTATTTACCCCTTATTTTATTTTACTTATTATATGAATTGTATTAATTTAGGGTGATATCAGAATGTATTGGTAAAAATCCTTACAGCAAAAATATGGCTATATACTTAGCTGCAGCCGTCAGTGATTTTTATATCCCAATTGATAAAATGGTAAATTAATATCTACTCATAATATAAAGTTTTAATTAACTTTAAATACTGATAAAATCAAGGTTTCTCACAAAATTCAGTCAACAGATAATGAATAAGGATTAGTAGTTAAACTTGATAATGTACCAAAGTGCTTGTAAGCTTCTTTTTTTAATAGTTAATAATACTTTTAACTTATATATATTATAAAAAGAAAAAAAATAAAAGAATTGGCAAATGAAGCAAAGGTGATATCTTTTAAACTTGAAACAGACAATACAATACTTAAAGATAAAGTTTTATCTTCTTTTAAAAAATATGGAGTTGATATTGTAACTAATTACTATATTTAATATTTTATTTAAATTTTAAAAAAATTTATTTTTAGATCATTGGAAATCTTCTAAGCAATACCAGATTCGAGGTCTATTTATATTAAAAGATATCAGAAACAAATAATATAGATAAAGATATACTTTGTGAACATATTAAATAAGAGAAAGATTCTGATCAAGTAAATAATTATTTTTATTATAAATAAATATCTTATTTGTTAAAATTATATTTTATTAAAAATCCAGCTCATAGAATCAAAGCTCATTGAATCATTAGTTAAGAGACTTGAAGCTTATTGAATAATTAAGAAAATTAAAAATTTCTCAATAAATTTATTACTTTTAATTATTTTTTGAATAAAAATATGAGTCATAATTCTCATTAGTAAACACTATTAATAAATTATTATTTATTATTAATATACATTTTATGTACAAAACTATTGGATATATATTTTGCAACTTTATAAAAATGAATTTAAAAACAATCATTTAAAATTTGATATAGCTTTTACTTCACTACAAGTTATAAATTTAGTTTACAATATTAAATTAATATTGTTCAGAATTGTTTAATTAATCTTTGTTAACTTTTTAAAATATTTAAACAAGTAAATTCTTTTTCAATGATTTTTTATCAATTACGAAACAATATTTTTATAAAATGTAGTTTTATTATTTATTAATATTTATTGTTTCTATAAATAACTTTAATATAAATTTTGCACATTTTATCAAAAAAATTTTAAAACAACAATTTAAATTATATACAATTTTAGTATCAATAACAAAATAAATTTGTTTACAAATGAAAAATGAATCTTTGAAAATTTATTGAAAATAGGAATAAATCCAATCTATTTCAAAAGGAAAAAGCTTTTGCATTTTTAGATTTTAAAGCTTAAAATAAGAGAAATTAAATGAAAAAATGAATGTGTGAATGAGTGAGTTAAAGAATAAATAAATTATTATATTTCTAAAATATTATTATTTGATAACTTATAAAATACTTTTTACTTTAGCATTTTATTATTTATTTATATAATTTTAATATTATAAGATTTAAACCCCATACGTAGTAATTAATTAATATTTTAAGTTCCTCAATTTTTTGTAAAAAATGATTCAAAATTTTATTATTTTATTATAACTTCCTAACCTTTTCTCAAATTTCAAGTGATAGTCTATCATTATTGTAATTCACCATATCTATTTATTACTCTTTATTATTTTATTCTTCTTTTAGACTTTCCATGAAAAAAGCAACTTCTTTGACAAATCTCTCTGGATCTCTTGCATAAAGAAAATGAGCTTAATCCCAGAATATAGAAACATCTCTTGATAGATTGAAGTCATAAAACACAGATGGATAGTCTTCTTAAACTCTTTATAAGCTTGTAAATTTAGATTTACCACCTATAAGTATTTTTCTAGGTCCTTTCCAATAGCAGTTCTTAGTTTCATGTGATATTAAATTATTAAAGCATCTGTCTATAGCATTAAAATTTAGGCACCACTTTAACTATCCATTAGGCAACACATTTATATTATTTAGCATAGTTTTTTATACAGGTACTTGGTCAAATTTTGATTGAATTAGTTCTCTAACTTCATCTAAGGTTTTTCCATGAATATTAATGGATTTCATCTCTGACATAAAACGGTACATTTATTCAACAGGTCCGGCACCATTATAAGCATAAGAGCTCGGTTGAATATCAATTATTATAACTCCTTTTACTCTTTCAGCTAAAAATTGTTAATAGTCATTTAAAGCTGCCATTATAGTACGACCACCAAAACTGTGTCCCAGCAAAATTAAGTCCTTCAAATCTTTCTAAGCAATATAGTGAACCAAATCATATGCCATTTCTTCAAAACTTATAGATTCTAAATGCTGAGAAAGTCCATGGTTACGTAGATCAAGCAAAGTAGAATGAGTATTTTTTCTTAGCTTTTCATGCTAAGCTATTTAAAGAAAATTTTTTGAGTTGTCAAATATACCATGAAGCCATAAGGCATTAAATTTGACATCAGCATTTTTGAAAGCAGGAATATGATATTCATGAAGCTTTGCAGGTTTTAATTTATGAGTGGAAAATTTAAAAAAATTTAAAGCGAATCTCATGTTTTTAGTAAATGAAAAAAAAATGAAGGTGGCTGTTAAAAGTATTAAAATACTCTATTATATTATTATTATTTCTTTTTTTATGTTTTTATTAGATTTTTTATTGCTTTTAGTTTTCATGGAAATGTTATGTGAGTATATAAATTAGACTAGGTTGATGCATAACAAACTATAAAATTATTAACATTATTACATAAGCTTTACTTTCCATCGTAATATTTTTAAAAGTACAGAACTTCAACACATATTATTAAATAAGAAATCTGCTCAGAAAATCAAAATTTTTACTTACATATTTAAACAACTAAGATTTAAATATTATTATGTAATTTTGTTTTATGAAATCAATAAAACTTCTAGAATAAATAAAAGGACGCATAATTGAATTTTCATAACAAAAGTTCTAATTAATAAGATTTAATCAATACAGTCAAAACTGACGATTATTGCGCATCATAAGAATTATTTAGATTCTAATTACATTTCTCAATAATTTAACATGTATTTATTACTATTTTCATTGCTTGTAATTTATAAAAACAAACCAACCATCTTTGATTCACTTGAAAATTACGAGCGATATGGTATTTTTAGTTATATAAAGCAGGATTTCATAGAGAAAATAATAAGGATTTTGAATATATAAAAATGTATTTAATTTAAAAATAGTTTGTAATAAAAGTAAATTAAAATGGGTATAAACTAAAATATTAAAACGAATTTCTAAATTTTGTTCAAAATAATTGATGTAGAATTTCATACATAAAAAATATTTTTAAACTTTAGAATTCTAATTGTTTTTTAAGATAATAAATACTTGCTTCAAGCAGGTTTGTTATTTATTATATGTTTTATTATGTAAACTAGTATGCAAAAATAGCAATTAAAAATTATTACCTTAACCCTTATAATTTATTTATTAAAGAGAGCTGATTAATCAATAATTGTTGTCAATATTATCTCATATTATTACAGATAAAGACTCTCCCACAATAATAATTAATTATTTTATAATAAATTCAATTTGTTGCATACTATTTCAATTAAATTTAATATATCGAAAATTAATTTATAAAATAGACATAAACAAAAATCAGAAAAATCTAGCTAGAACATTTATTAAATTTCCGAAAAAGAATTTTTAAATTATTCTTATTAAATAGAATCTTTATAACATTTAAACATTCTAAGATATTAAATTTTCAAAAAAAAACTTGATATAATTAATTATTAGAATTTATAATTTAAATTAATAATGCAAAAAAGTGTTTTAGACTTTTTTTAACTGTTCTATTTATTTTAATTACGTGTATACATATATAATTAATTATAAATAAAGTTAATTAATTAGATTTTTAAAGTTCAAAAATTTTATTCTTTTAAGTCTATATCAAAAATTTGGTGTGTGTTTAAGTAATTTTTCAAACCTAATATGGTATGAATCAATTTTTAAAATACTTAAACTGATTTTATTTAAAGCTTAATTATAAATCAAAATTATCAAAAATATCCCCAAAAACATAGATTTTAAATAATTATGAAAGAACTCATTTCTTTTTATATTTTTTTTTGCTTAAAATATCTTATTCATCATGGTGGATTGCCATTTAGTACTACTTTCAATAGATAGGGGTTTACATTTGATATTGATAATTTACAAAAAGGTTTAAATTAATTGAATATTGAAATAGTACTAGTTGTTGGGATTGGTACTAAGTAGCAAGCAACCTCCTTCTCCTATATTAAATAAATATCATTTGAGTGAATAAAAATTTTATATTTAAATTATGTTAATTTGATTATAAGACTAAATAATACATTTTAAGTATTATGAAAATTAATAAAAGTGTTAAATTAAGTTTTATTATTAAGATATGTGCTTTCAATATGATGAGTTTATCATGAAGTAAAGCATAAATAGTTTTAAACAAAATTTATGAATTTTATCAAGAATTTTAAAACTTAATATGTAAGTTGGAAGAGCCTTTTTTTAATAACTATATACTTACCCTAAAGTTAGTTCAGCTCTTATTAGTTAAAATTTTTAATCAAAAAACTTTCTATGAAATAATCTCAATTATTATTAAAGGAAAGTTTATATTAATTAACAAATGCTAATAAATCTTTGATAAAATTATTATTTTTTAATTATTTTAATTTTATCTTTACTTTGTTAACATTTTTAATTTTAATATTTGAATATACAAAAATTAACTTTTTGAAGATTGATGCAAATCATAGTAATGTTATTTATAAAAGTCAATATAAAAAACTAAAAAAATGATAAATTATTCTTAAAATACTGTATTTTAAATTTAGAAATTTATGATTTAAGAAATTAATAGTTAAATTTATCTTTATATAAACTTAAGTAGAGTATTCTTTAAGTAGCTTTTAAATTTTATTTTAATTTGGGATTGATAATTTTGTAATATTTAAAAAGGCTTAAGTAAATTATGTATACAAAAAAATTAAATTATTATTATTATTATTATTATTTAAATTAATTATTAATATTTTCCTAAATTTGTCAATCAAATAATTTTTAATTCATGATTGCTAAATACTATTATATTAATATCTATTTAGGTTTTAATATTTTTTTTAAAAAATATATCTATCAAAACAATATATGCATTTATTTATTTATTTATTCTTTTAAATTATAATTTTTTATAAATTTGCTGCTATCAAATAATTTCCTTTAAAATTATCACTTTGTTATTAATCCTTCAATTAGAGTAAGATAAAAATATTGTTTTTTGTAAATCTTTTAATAGATATCTTAAGAAGAAATAAAATAAATAATAGGTAAGAAATACAGTTTAAGGCAATAAAGTTATGATAAGTTGCTTCATTAAGATTTTTAAGTGCAATATAAAAAATATAATAAATACTTGAAATAATTGTATTTTATTTAAGAAATTTTTTTGTAAAAGAATGATAAAACATTTTATTAATTGATATAAATATTTTCTATTTCAGTTTGAAGCAAAAAATAAATAAAAATCTATGCAAGGAATGGATTATTCAAATAAAGTTTTAATAATTTTAAAGGCCAATTTTAAAACTAATTTTTATTTTTAATATCAATATTGATTACAATGTAAAAGAATTGTTTTGCAATAAGCTTTTAAAAATATTTAGAACATAAAATTTTATTAATTATAAATCAAAGTATGGTTAATCATTGATCAATAAGTGTTAATTTATTTGTGACTGATTAGATTTTATAAATTAAAGTAGAAGAGAAAGTTAAATAAATAAATAAATTATTTAATTTGTCATACACATTAAAACAACAAAATATTTAAAGGAAAAAATGATGCTCTAAGAACACTAAATAAACGTGGATATCCCACATTAAGATTAGGAAAACATTTTATACTAAGGATCATAAGTTAGAAACTTGTCCCCCCTTTCAAAGAGCGACATCAGATTCGATAATAGATTAACAATGATCAAGTCCACTTAAAGCCCTCGTAAAGAACACTTGTAATTAGAAATTTCGAAGCTTAGAGACTAATCAAAAAAGCTTTTGGAAATGATTGATTCAATGGGAAAAAGAGAAATAGAAAAGAATAAAAAAATTTAGTATTAAAATTCTATTATTTCAGATTTAAAACTTCGTTTAAGCTAGCTAAGCTCTTCTTAGATTGAGAATACACCATTAACATAGAGTTAATATGAAAATTAATAACCTGAGAATGGAATTTCAGATTAAGAAAAAAGAAAGCAAGAAGAAAACGAAGTATTCCTTGCTCTTATAGAAGAGATGAAGCTTAAATAAGATGAAATTGATTCTCTTTACTAAAAGGTTAATCAATTAGAAGAATAAGTCAAAACATTTTAAATCTAATAAATAAATTTTGAGCAATTTTAACAAACACTCAATGAAAAAGATCAAAAAATAGAAGAAATTTAGTAGAAAATTGCAGAAAGTATTTAAGAAAAAAGAATTCAAGAACCAGTAAGTGTAGACTTAACTGATATAAAGCAAACTATAGAAAACCATGATACTTAGGTTAACCACCTCTCAAAGATAGTAGAAGATTAGCAACTTCAACTCAGAAAAAATACTATGACGATTAAATAGCTAAGTGATAGTAATAGATCTTTAACTACAAAAGTTAAACAGTTCGAAGATGAAAAGGGATCTGGTTGGAGATCTCTCTTTAATTTCATCAAAGAATTGTTTATAGTTGTTATTATTTCTGCATTATTTTCTGGTTTAAAATATTATATTTCAATAATATGAAATTTAGTATTTTATAATATATATTTGTGTGAGTATATATCTATTTATTTTGCAATTTAATTTCTATTAGTCATAGGGTAATCAATAATCTGTTCCAATAGGAAACTAATCAAAATTAAAGTTATCATATAGTGAAAATAATATACTCTCTCAAATCGAAATTGGTAGTATACAAAAAATAGTTGTATTTAAAAAAAATTAAATAACTAAATATAAATAAATATTCTAATTCATAAATTTTTTATTTGCTTATTTAAAGTTTATAATTTAATATTTCAAATTTTATGAGTAAAGTTTAATAAAATATTTCATAAATAAAAGATAGAATAGTAATTCGAGAGTAAAAAATTCTTCAAATAAAATAAAATATCAAACATTAGATATTTTTTTTTAAGTTAATATAGAAGAAATAAGCTAATTTGATCTCACTTTTTGATCTTATTAATGAAAAATCTTTTCTTAATCAATAATCAAATAAAAGTTAAAATAAATAATTAAAACCAAAAAATTAAATACCTAAAGATAAAAAAAAGTAAAATTTTGTAAAAATGTTTAAAATTTTCCATGGTAGCAATGGCTTGAAAGAAGTACAAAAAAAATAATCTTTAATATTCACATAATAAAAAACCAATTTTTTATGTAAAAAAAGCTTTCAAACTGTGATCTTGATTAAATTGTTGGTTTAAAATTTACTCCAGCTTTAAAGTAATTATCTTGATAATTAATAAAATTTTCAAAATATTTATTTCATAATCTTTCTTTGATCAAATTTTTCATAAAAAATAAATATTCAATATTCACTTATTAATTTTATAAGAGAAATACATCAATTTTATTAATTCATTATTTTTTAAATTAAAGTTCATTTAACCAAAATGATTTTTAAGCTCCTTCTCTATTAATACCTTAGTTATAAAAGTGTATTAATCTCAAGACTTTAGACCTTAATATTATGTAAAAATTAAATATTTCCTTTTAGCAAATTAATTAATTACCTTTTTTTCTTATCCAAATTTATAATGAATAATTATTATTTTTCAGTAAAAATATGTGAAATTATTAAAATTTTTAAATTTAGCATGAACGACAATTTAGCACTAGAGTTAGGCTCTTCCTTAAAAAGCTTAAAAAAATTAACAAAAATTTCACTGAATTTCTTGTAATAATTTAGATTTTATTCTATCTTAAATGTTTTTGTAAATAAATAAAAAATCTATCTTCAAAAGCAAGCAACAAATTGGATTAGATGGAATTAAAAATCTATGTGAAGGTTTATCTTAATGTACTTCTTTAAATCATTTATATCTAAACTTAAGGTAAAATTGTTTTTTTTTTGTAACTTAATTGTATTTTTATTAAAAAATTACAAGCTATGGAAGAGTTTGTGATGAAGGTTTAGCTATTCTAAGTTCTACTATAACAAATTTAAAAAATATATAAACATTATCATTGCACTTAGGGTAATTAATTATTTGCATTCTTAACTTTAATATTCCCTTTTTTATTTAAGGATTTTTATAATATTTCATTCAAAAAATATTACTAAAACAGTAATATACTAAAATTATTTTAATTTATCTAAATTCCTTTTTTTAATAAAAATAAAGAGGCTATAAATTTGGTATTCAAGGATATTAAGCTATTGGTTAGGCTATATCTAATAGTTTAAATCTTACAAAATTAATTCTTTAACTTAAGTAATAATTTTAACTATCAATATACACAATATAATGTAAAAATAAACATGTCCTGATTATTTTTAAAATATAGTTAGATTAATCTAGATGAATAAAGCTCTTAGATATTAGGTACTTCAATATCAAAATGTTTTAATCTTGTTGACCTAGATATAAACTTTGCGTAAAAAATTTAAACCTCTTTCCTAATAATTAAAGCAAAAAAATATTAAATTTATTTAACTCTTTTAGAATATTTACTTATTTAATTATATTTTTTTTTGTTTAGAATTTATTTGAGTTTTGTAAAATTTTAACTTTGAACTTATTTTCTATTAAAATATATATAGATATTCTTAAATTGATGCAACAAAAATAAATGGCTTTTGTTCCGGTATTGCTAACTGTTAGAGTCTTTAAAAATTAAATCTTTTACTTGAGTAAGCTATTTTTTTTGAGCAATTATAATTTTTAAATTACTGTATTTTCTCATACTCTAAAATATATATTACTATTCATTTGTTTATATTAAACAACATTTGATTTTCCCCACATTTTTAAAAATACCTATTTAAAAAGTTTAATTTATTTTGAGAGAGTATAGTTTATCTAAAATTTAAATTATTAAAAATAATAAAAAGTGAAAATAAATTGGGAGATATTGGTGTTTAATACCTCAGTTAAGCCCTAAGCAACTGCAAAAATTTAAAGGATCTAAATCTTTTTCTTAAGTACAACATTAAGTTTGCAAATAATATTACAAATTTTATTTTTAAAAATATTAAATTCTCTTTATTGTAGGAGAAATGAAATTGGGGAATAGGGAGCTTCGTAACTAGGCTAGGCCTTTAAAAGCTGCTAAAGTTTAAAGAAGTTGAATTTATATTTAGAGTAATTAAATTTCTTTTACTTATTTAAATATTTTAATGAAACAAACCTATTTTTTTCATGATAAAATAAAGCTCAAACAAAATTACTCCTTAAGGCCTGTATGATTTATCTTTTGGGTTACAATAATGCTCAAGCCTAACTCAATTAGATCTCTCAATACTGTAAATTATATTTAATTTTAAAAATAGTTTTTTTTTCATATAGAATCTATTTTTTTATTGAATTATATTAATACCTTATTTAAATTTTTAAAAAGTAGCATTTTTTTATTATTTTAATAAATAGCAATAGTAACCTTGACTAGTAAAGTTTAACACTTTTAGGAAAAGGCTTTATAAATTGTTAAAGTTTGAAAACATTGAAATTAAATTTAGGGTAAAATCTCTTTATTAGATTTTCTTTGTTAAAGATTTTTTATTCCTCAAAATTATAAATTAATTCATATTATTTTATTTTTTAGTTTCTAAAATCTAGGCAGTAATAGTGCTTCTGAGTTATGTTCTTACTTATCAAACTGTTAGTCTATACAAAATTTAACATTAGTTATTTCGTAAATTCTTTACAAAAAAATTAAATTAAAGTTTTCAAATTTTTTTTTAATACAAACTGAATTTTTTTAAATGAACTAATTACTTATTTGTTTAATTATTACATAGTGACTGTAGAATTAGAGACTAGGGAGTATCTAATTTAGGACAGTAGTTTAAAAAATTTCCAAATCTTATTAGTTTATCTATCAACCTTGAGTAAATTAAATTTATTTAATTTATTATATTATTTATTGATCTAAATAGTTTACCAAATACATTGACTTCTGTTTATACTTTTAATTTATTTTAAATACAATAATAAAATATTTTTATATTTGAAGATCAAACTAAATTTCATCAGCAAGTGTTCAAAATTTAGTTTCTGGATTTTCTGACTGCTAGAATCTTTAATCTCTAACTTTAGATCTTGGGTAAATATTATATAAATTTTAAATAATTTTTTAAAAAAATATTATCTAAATATTATTTAGATCTAATGCTATTGATGATTAAGGTATTTTAGATTTAAGTTCAGGATTGGTTAAATGCAAATAACTATAGAAATTACAGCTTGCAATACCGTAATTAAATTTATTTTATAATTAAATTGTATATTGTTAGTTTTAGAAAATTTAATAGCTTACAGATAAAAGACTACAAAAAGATAAAAAAACTTGTTTTTTATAATTTAATAAATAGAATGAATGAAATTTCTGATGAAGGTGTTGAGAATCTTGCTAAAAATTTGACTAAAATTAATCATCTTACAGTTTTAAGTCTTAATCTTTTGTAAAATATTAGTTCAAAATATATTTTTTTAATTGTATTTTTAGCAATTTTTTAATTAAATAAATGTTTTATATTAAATTAAATTTATTAAAATAAAAATGCAGCAGAAACAATATTCAAGATTAAGGTGTTTTTGCCCTTTGTTAAGTACTTTTAAAATGTAAAAGCATTAAGAATCTCACTTTAAACTTACGGTAATAAATTAGTTATCAATTTTGAATCTGCAATTAAGCCTTTCTTTAAATATAAAATTAAAGTTTTTTTCTTTTCAGTTGTTTTGAAATTTAATCTATTTTAAGAACAATTTAAATTTATATAAAAAAGTTATAATTAAATCAGTAATCTTGGAGTTAAAGAATTAGCAAAATGTTTACAATGCTGTAATAATATCTCAGTTGTAAATCTTGATATATTGTAATATTTTATTCAAAAATCTTAATTATTATAAGATTTAATTATTTTTAAATTAAAAAGAATGAATTTTTCTGTAGATCAGCAGTAGTATTAAAAATTATACTAAGCAGTGAAAAAGTAAACTAATCTAGTTCATTTTTTCCATTTTTGAAATATTTTATAAATTGATTTTAAGATCTATATGCTTATTTTATGGCTGAAAAAATAATTTTATATTTTGTGTTAGATTTTATAAACAAAATATTATTTTATTTTTTAAAAATTAATTTATTATTTATGTTTTAAAATAATGAGTAAAAGTACTCAATTTAAAATTATTATTATATTTACTAATATATAATAATTTATTTTTTTTAATTTTTTATTTTAAGTGTATAAAATTTATTTTAATTTAAAAATTTTATCTTATTTCTAAATAATTTTAAGAATAAATCTAATTAAAAAAGATGAAAAAATTATATACTATAATTTATAGATAACTTAAAATATTAATTAAATTCTTAATATTTATAGAAAATATATGGTTACTATTTTTTGGTAATATGATATTTAAATTTCATAAACTGAATATTGAGGAAACACGTTAATTCTAAACTTTCAAATTATTGCTATTTAACTAAACTTAAATATTTTTGAGGATATTCAGAGTTTAAAGTATCCTTTTTTACTGGAAATATCCTTTAGAATTTTAAAAATAAATTATTTACAAATGATTTTAGTATAATTAAATAAGTAATTTTAACCAATAATTTGTTGATTATTAATTAAAACAAACAAGATGCTATCCTAAACAAAATATCAATTAAAAACAAAATAGACAACTTATTAATTTTCCTAAATAAATGTATAATATGAGATGATTTCAATATGAAACTCCTTTATTAATAGGAGAAGCTTTGCAACCACTGCAAGAGTATAAGTTTAAAAATGTTAATACAATTTAAACAAGACTTAAAATAAATTAAAGAACTGTGAAAGAAATAGGCCAACCTCTTCTAATGTAAAAGCTGCTTCCAGGATTTTAACCATTTTTATAAAAGGACATTGCTACTAAAACACTATCAGCTAATGAATCATTATTTATATTATCACAATTAGCATTACTCTTAGCAGTACTCATTAAACTTGAATTCCAAAAATCATCATTATACTTTTAGTAGCTTCTACCACAGATGTTTATCTAACATATTGATTATTATGCAGCGTAACCTAAACCAATTAAAGTCACAATCAAAATACCTATCAATAAGACAAAGATAATCCAAGTAGCTAATCTTTCCCAAACTTTAGCAGAAAAAATAAGTGCAAGATTTACAACTAAGTAAAGGAAACTAAAAACTGCAACTGCAATAAAGGCTGGAGAGCAACCATTATCAGACATAAATGCAGTAATAACTCCAGTTGCGAATGAAATACAGATTCCAGTAATTAAGAATGCTAGAGATAAAGCGTTTTTTTTGTTACCTTTAACCTAGTTAAAAAAAAAATTAATAAATTAAAAAAGAAATTAAGGAGTTACTTTTGCGTACATTTTTATGTCTTGAGAAAAAGATTCAAGAGTTTATTTACTGTGTAAAATTTATTATTTTTTAATTTCAAGCTATTTTTTTTAATGACTGTATTTATATGTAAATCATCATATATTTTTAGATTGAAATGATAAACAAAATTTAAATATTCAAATTGTCTATACTAAAAAACTATTAATATCTTTATCAATGCTCTCTTACTCTCTATTCTTTTTTCGTTCTAATAAATTAAGTTTTGCTGCATGCAATCTTACATAAAACGATAAATATTTGACCCGTTATACCACACTCAAAATTATTTAGTTTAATTTATCATATATTATTTTCAAAAATATTTGTCTTTGTGTTAATTAAATATTTGTAAAGAAACAAAATGGAAAAAAAACTTGGGTAAATAAATATCTAATTTGATAAAATTAATTTTCAATATAATCTTCATTTTAATATTTAATAATAATTTATTTTTTTCTCGAAATTGAATTTAGATTTTTTATGCCAAAATAATTTTAGTCATAAAAAAATGAGCTGTATATAAACTAATTTTAGAGCATTTCATTACCATTTTTAATATAAAATATAGTTTTTTAGGTAAAAAATTATATTTATTTTATAAAACTTATTATAGGTACAAAGCATTTAAAAAAAAAAAGAAACTCAAAGATATTTACAACTAATAAATTAATTCTTAATATGGGTTTGCTTTTTCAACAAATTATAATTGAATAATTTCTAAATTTTGATAATACAAGCTAACAAAATCTCTAAACTTTTATATAAGTAAATTAAGTTATCTTATGTATTTTTAAATTTAATTAGATTTATTTTTAAAATACCTCAAAAACTAATTTTCATTTCTCATTAATTAACACTTCATCCACCCCAAATATTTTTTAAGTGTAATTTGTTTTAATTTAATATTGAACTCAAAACAATTATTTTTTATATTGAAGAGAAAATTTAATTACAATATGTAAAAATTTGGGTCATTCTTAATAGATTTTTGATTAAAAATTGAAAATTAAAACAATAAACCAAAATTTAAATTGAAATCTTTTGCATAAATTTCAATTTTTATCATCTCTTTTTCATTTAGTAAAATAAGTATTCACAAAATAATGATGATAGTTGAGCTAATATTATATTGAAATATTCCTTGAAAAATAAAGTAAATATAAAACCAAAACTAACTTGTAAATTTTGAGAATTTTAAATAAATACATAAATTTATTGACTGAAAAAATAAAAATCAAATATAATTTTAATTCTAATTAATCATTTATGGTTGTCCATAAGGATATGTTCTAGCATCAGAATTTAATGGATTAGGTATAATACCCATTTAGATTTATTATTAAGAATGTTGTTGTTACTGTTAATTTAAATATTATTACTCTTAATTTAAAAACTATTATTATTTTAGCTTTATTTCGTTTAATTATTACTAGCTAAATTAATATTACTAAATTTGAATGGGATTCCAATTAGGAGGGGCTTATATCTTTAGTAATTAAGGTATTTCTTAGCAGTTTAAGTTTTAACTTGGGTTAGGATTTATGAACATCTAAATAGTATGGGGAATATCAATTAAATGAAATATTGTTTTTACTTCAGGCTATATCTATAGGTAATAATTTACTTAGATTAGCTATCCTTACGATGTCATGCTGATATTAGCTGGTACTTATAATTGTACTTCTTGCTTTATTTAAAGTTTATCTACTTTAAGACTTATACATTTTTCAAAAACATTAATAATTTTATTTCTTTGAAACTCAAAAGATTTCATGTCTACTTATCCAATTAATTTGACATTTAAATTTTGTATTTTGTATTTATGTTTGCTGAAATCTACTTCCAATTATATATTAATTATTTCGTTTGGAGAAAAGTATCTTCCGTTTGTAGTTACTTTATAACTAATTTATCCAGGATTACAACAACAACACACCAAAGGAGATAAAGAAGAGCTAGTTGTGTTAGGCTACTCAATAACTGGTAATTGCTAACCAATATATATCTCCTAATTACCACTAACAGGTTTGACATTAGGTTCCTTAGGAATAATTTGCGCGATTAGTTAGTATTTTAAATTGCATTAATTATTTTGATCTATAAAATACTTTACAGAAGAAGGGAGCTTATCAGAAACTGTTATTTAAAAGGGAATTACAACCTAGCAAGGTTAAATTACAAAAGTGGATTCATTAGAGCCTTACGCAAAATCATAAACAGGAATACTAAAGTTAAGAAATTCATTTCTACCTTTGGCATAAACAGTCTTAGAATGTTTACCTGCCCTTACGGAATAAGTATAGCGAGTTTCTTCTACACCTTAAAGAGTAACTTACAAAATATTACCTTAATATGGCTCTTCCAAATTGATATTAAGCAAGCCTTATATTACTTAATTACTTACAAAAGCTGTCTTTTAAAGTTAAATATAGATTCCTCCTTTCACTTATCTTCTGTTATCATTTGGATGACTTTAACCCATTCTCTAGCTGATTCGAATATTTGTTTTCTCGAGCTTAAATTTGATTTTAATAGATAATTTATATGTCTAATCGATAAATATTTATAAAATATAATTAGAATTGTTATTTCCTAAATTAAAATCGAAAGGAAAATTATCTTTTGTTACAAATAATTCTTTTATAAATAAAATTTATTAAATTAGATAGATTTTGTTTTCTTTTCTAAATCATGATAAAACTTGCAATATTAAATTTTATATTATTATTAAATGAAGATATCTTAATCTATATAAGAAAATTTTAAATTAATCTATTTAAAAAACCATAATAAATTCAATATAAAAAAAACATTTAAGTGTATTACTTATTCATGTTACATTAGTAATTATTAGTAATTTAACTCATAAAATAATCAAATTTATAGAAAATAAAAGGAATAAATTATAAAAACTTAGCTATCTGTTTTTTAATTTACTCTAACAAACTTTAATTTCGATAAAAATACAATTTGAGGTTTAGTAATTTTATTGTTAAGCAAAGCATTATTAAGATTAGAATTATATATTTTGAGTGTTATATTTGTAAAACAAATTAATAATTCATCAGTTTCGATATTTTGATTAGTAACATCGCGAAATTAGCAATTAATTAATGATAAAAAATTAATTTAAATTAATAAATAATTAATGGTTAGAAATATATTTTGTAAGCTAATATTATCTTATGATTAATATATTATATTTTTTTTGTGATCTTTTTATAATTTTAGAAGGATTTTTAATTATTAGTGATTTTTAATTACTTTATTAAGAAAATCAAATAAATAAAGTAACAAATAACTGGTAAAAAAAGTTTTGCTAAAAACTTTATCAAATTATTTTAAATCTTTGCTTGGAAATTGTATTTTTTCTTTGGTTTTTCAATCAAATATTGGGTATTGTAACTATATCATTCATTCATTTATAAATAAATTAAAAGAAAGAAGTGAAAAAATATTCCCCTTTAAACCCAAAACTGAACATATTTAATTATCTAATTTATAATAAAATATATTTTAAAAACTAGTAATTATCTTCACCTAAATCTCAAAAATAATGCATAAATAAAATCAAATTATCATTAATCATTAATCATTTATATTTATGAAAT